CAGCAATTAACGGCAGTTAAGACAGGTAGTGAGAGTAAGGGCTCAAGTCAATTGCTTCGATTGCAGAGTTTAGGGGTTTATATGCATCAATTAAAGTCTGAGGGCTTAATAGTGATTTTGGGATTAGTTCAGAGGCTTAAGTTATGGTTTTACCTATTTTCTTCTAGGTATTAAATCCTTCTGTAGTCCTATATTTTAAAAATAAAATTGCTCGACAACACCGTCATACAAATTATTTATAATGCATTGACATTCTTTTACACTCAAATTTTTATTAAAAATATATCATAATTTAAATTAAAAATATTAATTTTTAAATAAATAATTATACTTTACAACTATAATTATTTTTTATAAAATATATATTATTATTTTTTAATACATTTTAATAATTATTAATTATTTTAAAGCAGATATTTCAGATCAGGAGTAGTCATAGTACCCTTTCAGCAAATCGGAAGGCTCAAAACTTGACAGCATCACCCAAAACAACAGTGAGATAATAGTACGACCGACCCAGCATATATTCACAAAACAATGCTTCAATTCTCATTCCCTGATCCCAATCCTAATTTCAACCCCAATACTAAAGCCTCCTCCTTTCTCTGTCCATTCCCACCCTGTCACCTCGTTGGGTCTCCTACCATTTGAGTCAGTTTGTGCCTCCAGCACTTTTTACATCTTTTTTTCCTCTAGATGGTGATCTAAGGCGGGGTACGTTAGGGCATTTTCTACACTGCTGAAAAGGTATGGTTCTCATCTTTGGTCTTTTTTAGCAGGTTTTTGGTGATCTTTGTGAAGTTTTTGTTGATACAAAAATCCCAATAGACTTTCAAGCTCAAATCTCCACTTCGGGTAACTTGCAAAGTTTTGGTTCTCGGGGTAGACACTCAGATACTTAAATCAACAGTAATTAGAGTTACCAAATATGAGACAGGAACTAAACTTGAGGTTGGTTTTAATTACCTTTTCAGGAGGGCCCTTGGGATATTTATAGCTTTCAAGGCGTGTCCACGTGTTGACCTTTGCGAGAAATTGGGGTCATGTGCGTCAATCATTGCAGATATCTCTTATAAGAAATCTGTGCATGTATGGAGGTACTGTAAAGTGAGAGCAAGGGGATGAGCTTGAACTTAGTTTGGCTGAGTTTGTCTTTCTTTAAACAATCATCGAGGTGATCAGGTTATTGGGAATAGGTCAGAACATCTGAAGTACGTGACCTTGGATTACTGTCATTGCACTATTCCCCTCGAAATCATTCACTTGTGAATGATGCAGGAGTGTTGGGATCGTGATGTGTGGCTGAAATCGAAATGGAGATGAAATGAAGTACGGTCGAAGTTAAAGTGAAAATATCATGGCACGTGATTATGTAAGGTACAATCAAAGCCGACATGAAAATAACATGACACGTGGTCATGGAAGGTACAACAGGGGCCAAAGTGAAATAACGTGACATGGTTATGTGAGTGTTGACGACTACTTAAGATTTTTTCAAAACAATGAAAAATCATTAAGTGTAAAAATATAAAAGTAAATGGAGTCGCCACTCATCCAAATTATAAGATGGGACAAGTCACCTAAAATGGGTCTGCGTAGAGATCGGGTTCGGGGGTTCGGTTAGGAGTGAAGAAGGGCAGACACATATCTCACAATCCTCCGTTTAAACACGGTTACATACTTTAACATTGGAGAGTTTTAATTCAACTTACTCATTATGTTTGAGTCTTAATAGGTAAGTTTGAAAGAAGGATAAGCCAAATTGAAACATTTAAAAAATTTTTGGACTAAAATGGACAAAATCAAAGACAAGCATGCATCATAAGCACAAATAAAATTAAAGGGACTAATTTGATTAAATTCGAAAATATTGAGGACTGATTTAAAAATATTTGAAACTTTGGAACTAAATTGCTTAATCATAAAACTTGTGGGTGAAATTGAGATAAAATAAAATAAATAGATTTCAATTAATAAAAAAGT